GTCTAGATAGGGTTAAGCTACCTACATGCCAAAAATCACCGGTCGACCGGTTTATGAGTTATCCTCTTATGTTTATCTTTAAAGAAACGCCCCTGCAGTTCCAAAGCAAACCTACGACACTTCTTTCCCATGGCCCAGCTCGTGCCCCTACCATGTTTAGATCATGAGATATCAAAACCGGAAGTTCCGCTGCAGTACCAAAACGAGCCGCCAGGGGGCCCAAAATCTAATCAATCCCGTAGTGCCCTGTCACACTTCTGCGAATAGCCATTGCGTATGAGTTTCGCGCAGACATTTAAGCCCTGCGCACATTACTCTCGGGTACTGTGACGCACATGAAAAGTAAAAATAACTAATTCAGCGCATGGATTGCATATCGCATCCGTATATTGCGTTCACATGCACTGCACAGCACAGGTTCCACTGCATATAGATGTATTTCCAAAGGCAAAGTATTCACATGTCTTCATAGTAAGATGATAAAATGCGGCCCCATTGTACGTTGTACAATCACATAGGACGTTTACGACCGTACTTTACTTTTAGACTATCATCTGAATATTTAGCGATTATGCGATAGTAATAAATAGTTTATGAGTTACTTAGGTCGGGCCCCCAAAACACCCCACCCCCTCCGGTCATTGAGTTACCCTCCCCCAAGCGATTTGAATTGAGTTCACTTTATTCATACCGCGTTTTTCGGTCATCCTGGGAATCTTTAACCCTACCTAGACCGGGCTTTTTTTGGTATGGGAGGACCGGGGGGAGCTCTTTAGACCCTCCCCCCTCAGAACTCGCGAACGGTAAGTCGTATGACCACCAATTTTTTAGAGGATGATGTACTAGTGAAACTTTATCATATCTACAATTTTTTTGTCGTTATGACGTAATATGACGTCATTATGACGTCATTAATGTGATTTTATTGGCCCAAACCGTCTAGATAGGTTTTTTCCTGAAAACTAAATGGTATTCAACATAACTGTACCAAAAGTGTTTATGACAGAATATTAGGGTGTACTAAGTCTTGTGTTGCCCATAGCAACACCGGTGACGTCATAAAATGACATCATACATATTTAAGATATCCGCCATCAGATATCAATCATCAATCTTGAATTTTCAAAAATATTTTTTTTCATGATAAAGCCTAAAATACATTATAAACATACTAAAGACCTTCATTTTAACCTTTTTTTGAAAAAGAAATGGAAGTATTGATGACATTTAAATGAAAATAACCTGTATATACCTGTTCTAATGATATGGTCCACCATCTTGGATCTTGGACAATGACGTCATCGAATTAGCATAAATTATGCATATTTAATGATGAAATTTACATAAAATTATGTGGGATGTTATTAATATTATAAACCATAAGTAGCTTGACATAAAACCCATAAAATTCCATTGTTGAAACAAAAAGTACTAAATCTAGCAAAAAATGCCTGTCAGAAACCCGTTGCCATGGCAACACAAAAACCTATTATCTCATTAAAATGATAGAGAATTGTTTCCAACAATATTCTAGGAAAAGTCACTAAGTTTGGCCGTTCTACGGCTAGCCGTTGAGACGCTAGGTGACATCAAAATTTGCGCGGGCACTTTTAGCCCCCCCCCCGGTCTAAGTAGGGTTAAGGGATGATGTCATGAACAAATGTCACAACATGACGATCACCGGTGTACGTGTATATAGTATTACGGTAACCTTAAACCAGGAGTTCTAACCCTAACGTCAATACTTTTATTCTATATTTATTACCTCTACAAGTTGGTGTAGCACCACTCCAAGTCCCGTTCGGCTGGCAGGTTATATTCGCAGTCCCCCTCAGCTGATACCCGTCCATACAGGTGTACCTGACTGTCTGTCCTGATGTAAAGTTACTGTTGTTATCCCTGTTCCCATTGGCCGGCACACCAGGATCCCAGCATTGACCTGCAGTACTGCCTGAAACAAAACAATGTAAAGGTATGGATTTCCTTCCTTTGCCATTTATCAAATAATTGTGTACATTTGCAATATATTTTTACCTATAAATGTTCATTTCCCGTACATTACATAGATATTTTTTTACAAACTATATAACTATATACAACTTATAAATGTCCTATAGTGTATACTAATGAAATTTTTAAATTTCCTTAATAACCAGAACCAATTAAACGGTTATTTACATAATTTGCAAATTTTCCCATCTTCTCGGTCTCAGAAACTAATCATATACCGAAAATGATGGAAAACTGCCAGAACCACAGTTAATATTAACCAGCATACTAAATGATATCAGTGACCTTGTTAATTTGAGAAGTGAAGTCAAAGATCTTACTTGTGTAGTTGAACTGGAACCCCCCCGGACTGCTGCCCAATGTCCAACTGTTAGATGTAAACCTCAGGAACATCGTGTTAGATGTGCTGATGATGGGGGTAATTTGCGATTGGTCACCGGTTAACCTAACATTATGGAATAATAAAGAAAATCAATATTTGACGCACAATCTATTGTAATATTCCCAGTTTTGGGACTGTTTTTTGCTATGCAGAATGAATTCAAGCGTTGAGATTACCGTGAATACCCCATGGTTATCATTATTACTTCGTGTAGGTTTGATTTAAGGAGCATAAGATATATACTTCGAACTTGTAGTGCCAGTGCGATGTTTGAATATAAAGTTGGGTACTTTCCAAACATTCCTCAGAGATCCCAGTTGGTCATCACATACATGGACATTTATAGCTTATCCTTATTACTCGAGTATTAAATACCATGTAGGACGAGCCTAAACATGTCATTTTTTTCGTTTTTTCAACATCGGTCGATCAAGGTCTGTAGTCGAAGTTGGTGCGCTCAGTTGATCTATTGAAACGACTGATACCTTTGGTGTCAGTTAGTTAACATCAACATTTAACATTAACAGTTAACATTAGCAAATTAAGAATCAGTTCACCCAAGCTGACAATAGAAAATGAATATAAAGTCTGTAAAGTTGTTGTTTGTGCAATCGTTCTATCACTTGCACAATACTGTTTACCAGTGTTATCCAATATGTCTGCTTCAAACACCCAGAAATTGCAAGTTGTGCAAAACAGAGCCTGTAGAATATTGTTGTCTAGATCATTTGATACACCTGTTAAGGAGATGCACAGGGAATTGGGATGGCCTTTGGTCAAAGACAAGTTTGTTATTAGCACGTTGAATATGTTCTTCAGAGTGCTATCCAGTAAGGAACCCCAAATCATATATGATTCATTTGTTCCAATCCAGTCAACCCACAAATATTCAACCAGATTTTCAGCTTCTAACAGTTTCTTGCTCCCCGAAACAAAAACAAACAGTAAAAAAAGAACATTTCAGTATCGTGCAATCGACCTTTGGAACAAACTACCACAACACATCACGGTGGTAAAATCTGGGCTGCAAAGTTCCCACATGTCATAGAACCCGAACTGTGTTCGATCGTGTTCGATCTGGGGAATTCGAATCGAACCCGCGTTCTATTTCGGGGTCACCTGCGGTCATTTACTATAAAGCGGCAAAACAAGCCTTTCTACCTCCGTGCATTGCAACAGATAAAAAACAACACTTTTCTATAGATACAAACAGTTTCCTGGACAGTACATGTCCGCTATTATTTTTGGTGGACATGTAACATGTAGCGAAGCTACTGTCGTATCCTTGAGTGACCTTGAATACTGTAATGATTCTTTACGCCAGTATGAATAACACAATGCACACTTTCTGGCGATATGACATGTCTCCAAAACTCGTTCAAACCTGGAAACATGGAGAGTCAAACATACCCCATTTACGGCTCAAAATGACTGTAACGGTTGTCCCGAAAATCGTGTTTTAGGGATTTTTGAAAAATGGCCTCAATTTTGAATTATGGGTAATTTAGTGAGAAAAATGTCAAAAAATGCCATTTTTTCACCAAAATGTCGACAAAAACTAGACTTAAAATCAGAAATTAAAAAATCCCTAAAACTCGATTTTTTTGTCTTATTCCTAGTCTGCGAAAAATATAAAAATCGGGGATCTGGGGTAATATACGTAGCCAGGTTTGAACGATGTTTGCCAAAAAACGTGATATGACTTGTGCTCGGAAACCCGAAAATAATCGTCTTTCTGAGCGAAATTTTAAAAAATCATTGATTTAACATAAAACGCTAACATTTAAAGGATGTTAAGACGATAATTTCATTTTAATTTGACGAAATTTACCCCTAAATATTATTTGTGTATTTTCAAATATTTTACGGGTAGTCCAAAACAGGCCAAAATAGCGTCTTGTAACACGATACCTTTTCGAACGCGCATAGCAATGGGAAAGAATGCCGTAGTGACAGACCGCCGTGCATCAAATCACTGTCAAGCACATCAAACTTTAAAAAAGCCATCCGCCAACTGTTCACACAATATGAGTCCTGTGATTAGAGTGTGAATTAGGTATCTTTCATTTGTACATAATGTAATAATGTAAATTCCTCTTTATGTCATATGTGTATTTTCAACTATGTCATCTGTTGTTTGTATTGTATGATCTTTGTATGAACCCTGGAAGACTAGCCAGTTTTGGCTAAAGGGTATCGTAATAAAGGAAGGAATAAAGGAAGGAATATGATCACGTGTAAAGCTAATAAACCTTTCCCAAAGACCAACACGAAAATTTTCAATGTACTGAAGTCATATCCCGACTCTATGCCTACGTATGTAGGCCTAAATATATATGTTGTACCTTATAGAGGAGAAAAAGCCATTTAACAAACGTAACGTAAATCATGTCAATACGTCATTTTTTAAGTCAGTTTTCTTCAACCGCAACTCGTGCTTCACAAACCTCCGAAAACGTGTTTATATAGGATTAGATTTTTATGTGTGTGTTTTGTATGTATTAATGTTTTGTTAGTCTACTGTCTAATTATGGGCCAGTAATTATAAGCGCCTGAAACAAATGAATAATAGTAATTACCTTTCTATCTCTGTAGCATTATCATTGGCTCCATCGTAGATTGTAAGAAAGTCATTATACCACTCAGTGTGAAAGCTGTCAAACGTGAGGATAATGATGCTTCCTTCTGGTACAGTGATCGCCCACTCGCAGTTCTCATTGTTGCCATAGTTACCGGGATAGTTGGGTGACGTCACAGGGCCTCCAGAAGGAGCCGTCAGGTTCCCTCCACATCCGGTGCCGCTGGTTACTGTGGAATGAGAAATAACATCATCAGCTGCAGGTAACGTCACGTCATTATGTAAGCGTGAAGGGAGGCTATGTTTCATACAGAGTTACTGGGTCTATACATATTTATTTCAGTATATACATGGTGTTGATTTGAATATTGTTTTCACTCATTTACTCTTCTCTTTTTTCTCATAGATCCTGTTATTTTCTTAAATGGATTCAATTTCTACATTTTTAGGTTACATCACTTGAAATTTGATATAAAGGTATAGAGTGGACAAATACCCCCTGCCTTTTTTATTCATTCTATTATACATTCTTTTAATGCAGGATTTAGAAATGTCATAGATTTTTTTACTTACTTAATAGTTCACCACAAAACAAGGGTCAAGTGAGTTTTGAGTTACTGAGAACAGATGTTTGTTGACCTTAGACCTAAAACGTTTAAGGTTAAACCTATGTGGAAAACAATCACGTGGTAGCTTGTTCCATAGTGATGTTGTTGTAGGAAAAGGCTTTCAGCGTGGAACTTCCTCCTAAGAGATGGTGCATGGAGAAAGAAAGGGTGATTTGCTTCAGTGTAAGTGGCAAAGCGTGCTCTTTCTAAGAATGTTCGAGGTGGAGGCACTGGCGAGGAAAGTTCCGTGGAGTTATTTGGGCTATCTTTTGACAAAATCTGTATACATGTATGTGGGGTTCTGGAACTGGTATTACACCCAGATGAACCGTTATTTTGGTAATGCGTGCGGGATATATCTACTAACAACAAATCATTATAAATGTTAGTCTGAATTCCATTGAAAGTCTAAAAATTGGGACTACCGCCAGGTACATATGTGATGTATTTCGGGGTGCAACGCAACTGAATGGAATGCCACCTCAGCAATAGCAACAAGTTTCTCATTCTTACTCTGTCATAACGTTAAATGGATTTAATTTTTGGGGCCAAATGACCTGTAATGTGCAAGCTTAAAGCAGATACGGGGTGGCTTGGGTAAGTAATATTTAAGAAGATACAATTTGCCTTAGATCTTTTAAAAGTGCGAAATGTACTAAAATGACGGAGTGATCCTTGAAAACACCGTATGGCTGAAGCTAAAGCAATACATAGGGGGGTTACGAAAACATGCGTTAGTGCGGTTGCTTCGGAAGTAGAAACAGACCTACAGATGACAAACATTGCGATGATTACGAAGTACTGGAGTGTATCCCACAGCCTTGAGTAATATCAATAATTTCTAATCAACAGACCGGGTGTCGTGTGGCGTAACGATAAACGATATGACTTTATAAACAATAAAGATAAATATAAACAAATAGCAGACGTACAACATGAAGTGGTGTTTTGAAATACCTTTGCTAGTAATTAACATGAAATGTGGAAAATTACGTTGCAACACCTATGAATAAAATTACATTGATTCACGAACGTATATTACACTGATAAAATATTAAAATTCTGAGGTACTAAGTTAAATCTTAGCGACAGAGTGTTCGGCTCACAACCAAGATATCGAATGTCATGAAACACAAATTTAACAAATTTGTGCTGGGGTCACATTTCTAAACCAGGGCCCGGCCGGGCAGTCTAATAGAACGAAAAGTATGATTTAAAATCCAACAAAGCACAAATAAGTTGAAGAAATTAATTATGGGAACTAGTTGCGTAAATCATATTGATTTTTCGTTAATAGAAAAAGCCCGGCCAGCCAAATGTGACCCCAGTATTACTTCACTCAGTGATACAGTGAGGACCTAGCTGCATTAACATGTAGGGACGTCCTTTGGATAGGACGTTAAATGGGGTCCCGTTTTTTAGGAAAGCCATGTACTAAGTTGGCCCACAGCATGGCCGCATCAGATCTCCTGTCCCAACGACCGAAACCTTAGAAACTCTTTTAAAATGACTCTTGCACCTTGCCGCACCACGCAATATCAACATAGCCCAGTACCATCTCTGTCCAGATTGTTAATAACAAATGACATATGTTGTTAATAACGTCTAAATCATCTACACTCCGATGTTTACTGCTTCTCGTCGCTATATTCAGCCGATGTAGGTGGCACTAAGGTAAACCGGGACGAGGGGAGATACAAACTCAGACACGTGTAAGATTGTGTTCACACCGCAAAAACGCCACCTACATCGGCTAAATATAACTGCGAAAAGCAGGACTCTAGTCAGAAGTTCTGAGGAAGTTGCCCTCTTCACATCGAAACGG